TCTACTCAAAAAGACTTCAGCTGTTAATTATTTACAGTATTAAATTTTTGCTTATATTTTTCAAAGATTTCTAAAGAGAAATATATAATATATGAAAATATGACAGTGAAAATAGCAAACATGATGTTTGAGTGTTTGTCCACATAAGTCAGGGCTTATCTGAAGGTTCTCCATGTCATGCAGAAGAATGGCTCCTTTATAATTAATCTGTGCAAATTCTGTAGAATTGTGATCAGAAACAAGTTTCCTAATTTTTACCTCCATTTTTTGACAGGATAATAATATATTTCCCCTTCTTGATTTTTAATCTTATTGACAAGTGATAACCCATCCATTGTGAGAAAGAGGATGAACTTCAATCTTTTGCAAAGGAATCAGAGTAGAAATATCAGTAGAACTGAATACCTTCTGAACCTCTACTACCTCTATAGCATTCTGCTGTAGGTTACAAAGAAATGTGACACTTCTTTGCCTTCAATGTACTTATAAGTAATTCAGAAAATAAAGTATACGGGAAAAAATAGTAACACAAGGTGGTTCGTGGTTCAAGAGTTATTGCAAGGCAATTGTTCATTCATTCAACAAGTATTTATTGAATGCCTACTATATGCTAAGCACTCTGCTGAATGCTGGGTATTTAGAACATGATGCTTTTTAAAAACAGAAATGGTCACAGGGAGATGCAGCTGTAGAGTTAGGTGGGAATTGGGTGATGGGAGGCCTTGTTCTTTAACCTAAAAACAATGGGAAGTCATCGAAGGTTTTCTAACAAGGGATTGACATGATCAGTTGTGCATTTTTCAAAGATCACTCTAAATGCCATGAGAGTATATTGGAGAGAAACAACCTGTGAGATGGCAGGAAAAAAAAAAAATCCAAGCAGTATTCCAAGCAGCAGACAAGGTCTTAGTGGTGGCGGTGATGGGAGTGGAGGAGGAGAAGAAAGAGGGGAATATAGAGAAAAAAGGGATGGTTAGATAGGTTTGAAAATTATTTAGGAAATAAAATCAAAAGGATTTGAAGATCAGATACTGGGGCTGAAGGAGAAAAGAAGGATCAAATCTACTCCGATTCCTTCTTAAAAGATTGAAGACCTTGGTTCTTGGCTCATCCAACTGATGCTAGTGGTGCTGTTTACAAAAATAGGGAACACTAGAAGAAGGTTTTGTTTGAGAGGAAGGTTTTTATGAGTCCAGTTATGGACAGATTCAGTTTGAGGAGCCTTCAAGACATTCAAGTTGAGGGGCCGGCCCCCAACTTGAGGTTGTGGCGTAGAGGTTAAGTGTGCGTGCTCTGCTGCTAGTGGCCTGGGGTTTGGATCCCGGGTGCACACCGATGCACCCCTTGTCAGGCCATGCTGTGGCAGCGTCCCATATAAAGTAGAGGAAGATGGGCATGGATGTTAGCTGAGGACCAGTCTTCCTCAGCAAAAAAGAGGAGGATTGGCATGGATGTTAGCTCGGAGCTGATCTTCCTCACAAAAAAAAAAAAAGACATCCAAGTTGAGATGTGAGATGTCAACTATTCAGTTAGAAATACAAGTCTAGAGATAAGAGAAGAAAATGTGAAGCTAAAGATAAGATTTGAGAGTCATCATCAAATGATAGCATCATATACCTTGGTGAGCTCTCTTATTAGTATATACAATGGAAAATAAAGTGGCTTAGATTAGGTTTCTCTCACTGTGAATTAGAAGAATCTGGAAACGTTTCATGGGGGAGGGCGGCTGGATCATGAAACAACAGGTAGAATGTAGATAAGAAGAGAGAGAAGTAGAAATGAAGGAAATGGCAGGCACACAATAAAAATATAAATAAATAGATGGCAAAGATCTTTTTGGTTGCAAGTAACAGAGATACCACCCCAAACTCACTTAATCAAAAAAAGGAATCTATAAACTCACATATAACTGAAAAGTTCAGGGTATTCCACCTGCAAGCAAAGCTCTATCCAGAGGTGAAACAACATACTCAGAACCCAGTTCCTCTTTTTCTATTTCTCAGCTGTATCTTTGGTGTTGACTTAAGTTTGGGCAGGTTCTCCTCTCAGGATCCCAAGATGGTTGCCAGTAGTTCCAGATGCTACATGTTCACATGTAGCAAGAAAAACAGAGTTTTTCAGCCAGAAAAACAAAGCTTTTTTTTTTACATAATAGAACAATGAAAACCCCACAATGGCGATCAGTGAGCTATTAAGATCATGTGGTCATCTCTAGTATTGTAGGTAGAGATTGAGATACACGAATTATCTTAAGGCAGTTAGGGTGCACCTCTGGAGTAGAGACAGATCCTCCCATCAAACCACCTAGAGTGTTGGGGAAGGAGGATAGGAAGTCTAGAAGCATCAGTAGTATAGGGGAACTTAAATGCCAAGTTAAGGACCTTGGACTTAATCCAATAGACCAAAAGGAGCTCTTGTGTTTTGAACAGAAGAGGGGTCCAATGAAATGTTTAGGAAGTTAGGTCTTAAGGCAACTATAGGACATACTGCAATGTTTAAGAAAAAAGAAAAACAGAAATCTGTTAAAGAGTCTATAGCACTAGTCTAGGAAAGAGATAGTGAAAGCCCAGATTATGATTTAGTAAGAAATGTCGACGAAAGGAAGACAGTAATGAAATAATGGATGTGAACAATATTTCACACAAAGAATCCACAGGGCTTTGCAAGATAGTAAGACTGAATTTTGCAGTGGAACTTCAGACTCTGAGATTTTGACTAATGTGATGGCTTTGGCCCCTAGGCAAAGATGAGATCCTTTTTTTACGATAATACTGGACCCTCTTCTTCCACACCCAGCTCTAAGCTAGGCTTTTCATTTCGTTTTGTTCTAATTAGTGACCATCATCTTGTGAACCATTATTCCCCACATGCACAACTTTCCTACAAGTCGAGAAGAAGGCAAGTTCCCCCTCTGTCAGAACGAAGGCTGTCCTTGACTCTGTAGAACGAGAACTTGCAGATTACATTGCAATGTAAACAGATAGATATCACCACAATCATGGCAGCGGCTCTTACTTTTTTTTTTTTTTTTTTTTTTTTTTTTTTATCAGTTGGTGTTTTATTTTATTTTTTTTTTTTATTGCAGTAACATTGGTTTATAACATTGCAAAAATTTCAGGTGTACATCATTGTACTTCTATTTCTGCATGGACTACATCATGTTCACCACCAAAATACTAATTACAACCCATCACCACACACATGTACCGAATTATCCCTTTCACCCTCCACCCTCCCCCCTTCCCCTCTGGTAACCACCAATCCAATCTCTGTCCCTATGTGTTTGTTTATTGTTGTTATTATCTACTACTTAATGAAGGAAATCATACGGTATTTGGCCTTCTCCCTCTGACTTATTTCACTTTGCATTATACCCTCAATGTCCATCCATGTTGTCACAAATGGCTGGATTTCGTCGTTTCTTATGGCTGAGTAGTATTCCATTGTGTATATATACCACAGCTTCTTTATCCATTCGTCCCTTGATGGGCACTTAGGTTGCTTCCAAGTCTTGGCTATTGTGAATAAGGCTGCAATGAACACAGGGGTGCATGTACCTTTGCAAATTGGTGTTTTCAAGTTCTTTGGATAAATACCCAACAGTGGAATAGCTGGATCATATGGTAGTTCTATCCTTGATTTTTTGAGGAATCTCCATACTGTTTTCCATAGTGGCTGCACCAGTTTGCACTCCCACCAGCAGTGTATGAGAGTTCCCTTCTCTCCACATCCTCTCCAACACATGTTGTTTCCTGTCTTGTTAATTATAGCCATTCTGACGGGCGTGAGGTGATATCTCATGGCTCTTACTTTTTAACAAATGTCTTTTGAGCACTTTGTCAACCTGCAATAATTCTGTTAGCAAGCAACAGAAAACCCAATGGTTTAAAGTAGAATTCCAGAGGAAGCCGTTACTAGTGTTGGTTCAGCTGCTCATCAATAACAGAGCCTGTATCTTTGTGGTTCTCTTTCATTGTGTTTTACATCATGGTGACAAGATATCCGCTCTCCCTCCAAGTATCACATCCTCATTCAAGGCAAGCAATTGTTTGGAATAGAGAACAAGAAGAGGAATCTTTCTATTTATCAATAAAGCAAAGTACGCAGCATACTTCTTATAGTTTATGGGCGAGAATGAGGTCACATGACCATTCTTAGCAGTAAAAGAGATTGGGAAAGTGAACATTTGATTTTCTGTCCTCTATTTGTGGAACAGCATGGAAGAATAAAGTTAGGAATGGTTTTTGGGTGCCCAACCAGTAGGGTCTTCCCTGAAAACTTATTGTTTCACACTGTACTCTGTGCTTGCATGTATATTACACTCTTGTCATTTTATATTTGACCGTGTATTTATCTGTATTTGTTGCTTCCTCTCCCCTTTAGGAGAATATTTGCTTGGTTAATTACCAATTTTAAAAATAGATATTTTATTCTCTTTTTCTGTTAGCCACCGCCAACATCTGCTTAACTCATTCAGCAAAAATGCTAGAATTTTGGTTTCCCTGAGTAGGCAACTCATTGACTAGAAAGGATATTATTTTTATTTATGTCTATTTATCTGGGCAAGCATCACCCATGTGAAAGAAAATATTGCAAAAGTACCAGATGATTCCATTGGGATTTAGTAAGAGTATCACATTCTATCTTGTACAGGGTGTGATAGAGTCTCATGTAAGGATATATTTCCAAGAGACCTCATCAACCTTGCCTTAGAAAGAAATTCAGCACCAAAATGTGGCACCTGCATATCAAAAATAAAATTAGTAATTATACCACTTTATTCAATGTTTAGAAAAAATAGTCAATTATAGCAATATGAATTCAACCAGAATCCTCTGCAGGCAGCAGCATCATGCAATTCTGACTTCACAATGACATGAAATTTTAAATGACAACTGTGCTAAATCAGGGAGCAGCAAACCCAAGCCAAGTTTAAATTTAGTAACACTGCTAGTTTACTGAAAATAACCTTCTCCATAGCAGATTCTCTATGAATTTCAGGTGACCAACTACTTGTTTTTCTGTTCTGTCAGAGATAATCCGGTACCCAGAGGCTTCGGCATTGATGTCTTCCCTTCTCTATGACGTTTCTGGTGTCCACCGCAGGAGTCTCCTTGGCCAGCCTTGAAACACTTGGAAATTAAACAGAGAATCCACTGCATATATTCTTGAAAATTTCCATTGTATATGTTCATAACTTTCCGAATAAGCATAAAGACTTGAAGGTAAGTGAATTTTGGAAGTAACTCACGTTCTTGTGTAACTCTTAATTACATCAAAAGTGAATATTTAATGTATTTTAATAAAATATACAAAAGTAAAAGCAGTTATTGAGTATAAGGAAAATAGCCACCTATGTGCAGTTCTACAGCAAAAAAAAAGGGAAATAAAAATTTTAACAGTTGTTATATGTCATGTAAATGTAAATGCAATCAAGATACAGTGGTAATCTTAATATCTGATCATCAATTTCACACAAGAAAGCATGACATACAGTGGTTCTCAAATTTTAATGTGCGTAAGAGTCACATGGGAGGCAAGGAAGGTCCTTAAAATGCTGATTCCTGGGCATATTTCATAGAGAGTTAGATTCACTAGTCTGGGATGTGACCCAGCAATCAGCATTTTTACAGTTACTCGCCCCTAAATGATCCTAAGGGAGATGAGTCTTGGGCCTTTGAGAAACACTGAAATTGGCATTCAAAACAATATACTTCTAATTTTCAAATTTTATCTTAAATGGGGTTTTATGTTGTTTGTTTCCTTCAGTCACAAGAATAAATAAGGAAGACATATTTAGCACGGAGGCGCTAAATTCGTGCTTCCTTTTTGACTCCCCAAATTGAATTATTAATTCTCCTTAATATTTCTTTTTAAAGTTCAATATGATGAGCTAATTCTCAGGTGTCCCTAGCTCACTTTCAGAGTGACAGTCTTGCCATTGCTTTCTTTAGCTGTTTCTCCGTTCTGTGTAATGTTTTAATTTATTCAGATATTGGCTCTAATTCTAAGAAATATCTAGAAGATGAAAATAATGAGTGATTAACAGGGTTGGCTAAGCATTTCTACATTTTTGAGGGTTTTTTCTTTTTCTTTTCATTTTGAAAACTCAGCCTTAGATTTCAAAAGAACAGACCTGCTTAATACATCATTAGCTACTCTTTTCCTTTGCAGAGTAAAACTTATAAATCATGTGATATATTTATAACAGTTTACATGGACATTTATTGAATATCATTTTATTGTTTTTCTGTTTCCTATATCTCATTTAGGGACTTCGTCTTTATTTTTTGCAATTTTAAGTTTATATAAGATTTGCTTTTTTTATTCCAGTGAAAGAAGTGATTAGTAGGGACATATTCAGATCTTAAATTGTGATGATTCCTTAAAGGTTCAATATGATATTTTTATAGGGAAGAGTGAAGTTTTTAATCAAAATCCTTTGATTGAATTTCAGGCTTATAGATATTTTCTCCTCTCTATCACTTATATGCACTTGTTCATATTGTGTAGAATTTCTTGTCCATAAAATATCAAAAGGCAAAAATAGTCCCTTAACCATAAAGAAGTATATCCCTGTAATACAAGTTAGCTATATATATTAGCTATTAGTATTACACAAAGAAAATGAATATAGTCATATACATAAAATACAGTAGCACTTTTTTCAAGTAATCAAAATTAAAGATTTACAGAATTGGATTAACTATAATATTGAGTTTTCCCATGCATTTGTTGTCAGAATTGTTCTCAATAGTAAGATTGCCATACCTGATGATAAAATTTCTCAATTTGTAGTACACAAGATCATAACATCCTCAGATATGTAGTACACAAGTTTATGGTTCAGTCAAGTCCCCAAATAAGATTTCATAAAGCTTTTAGTGCACATCTTCTGTCATATTTCAATTTCAGAAAAACACAGAAACTACTCTTCTACTCTTTCTGTTTTTTCTCCTTTTTCTTTTTTTTACTTTGCAGAGGAGCAGGTGGAGAGAGAATAGAATTGTGTCCTCAGGTGAATCACGTTCATTATCATTGGCGTATTTATCTTAGACTGTGGCTCCCTAAAGAAAACTTAAATGTAGTTTCAGGGAACCTGAGTGAAGCAGCCTCCATACTCAGGGAGAAAAATATACAACAAAAGAATAAATTACAGAAACTTTATAGAACCACAGAAGCATAAAGTTTTGGAGCAGAAATGGACCATTGAGACCTTCTAGTCTGGTCCCCTCACATATAACATTCTTTTCTCTTCCAAACTTGCCATATAAAAGCTTAACACAAAGAGCAGGAAACATCCCTCAGGTCAAGTATGACTTATTAACAAGGAGAAACTAAGCAAGTGTTTTTCAGTAATGATTTCCTGGGTAAGGAAGGTAGGAGGAAATTTTCCTCCAAGATGAAGTTTGAAGAAGTGAAGAAAATACCTGAGTACTTATAAATGTAGTCATTGAATTTAAAATCATTAATTATAGTCATCAGTAGATAATCTTTTGTGTCATTAATCTAGAAATGAAAACAGCAAATTTAGGTTTCTTTCAAGCTGGGTCAGCTTTATCTGGAAATCTGATATTGAGAGGGAAAAGAGCTAAAACTAAGATACAGCTTTTGAACAGTAGAGCCATCTGGGACCATTCAGTATAGGAGAAAGATTTAAATATGTAAGAATTTCTGGGGAATATTAGTGTTATTATGAAACAGTATAATAATGATACTTGTGAGATAGCCAAAAAGATTAAAATGTGTTTATTAGTCTCAATTTAAGAAATTGGGAAGTAATTAAAATTTGTGTTAAAGTATAATTATTAATGTGGGGAAATGTTCATAATATACTGTAAATGAAAACCACAAACTATAAGTCATATTATGATGTGGTCACATTTTTATTAAAAAAGCTGTGGATGTGTAGGAAGAACATTGAAATAATATACATCAAAATATTATTAATGGTTATGTTCAATTCATGAAATTATGGCTTATTTTTATTTCTCAGGGTTTGTAAAGTTTTTTCGACAGAATGTATTATTAATGTAATTTAAACATATTTTTTAAGGGCTAGGAAAATATTCAGTTATCTGGGAAATTCACTTTTATAGAACTATAAGATAGTCCTGCTAATTGTTTAAAATAGCCTTAAAGCAAAGCCTTTGCATTTTGTAATATTAAACTGATTTCAATATGAGACTAGTACTTCCAATAAGATCAAAATGATTTTTAGATATAATTCTTCATTTGTGGAATGTTGCAGTAGAATAAATTTCTCAAATTTCCCCCCTCATTAAACACTAATAATTTCAAATTATAGCAATTAATTTCATAGAAATATTCTTAATTTCTTATATCAGATAATTCAAGTGTGCTTTCAAGAATTTTCTAGGGCCGGCCCTGTGGCTTGGTGGTTAAGTGCGCGCGCTGCGATGCTGGTGGCCCGGGTTCGGATCCCGGGTGCGCATCGAGGCACCACCTCTCTGTTCATCCTGAGGCCGAGTCCCGCATACAGCAACTAGAAGGATGTGCAGCTACAACATACAACTATCCACTGGGGCTTTGGGGGGAAAAAATAAAATAAATAAAATCTTTAAAAAAAAAAAAAAAGAATTTTCTAACTATAATAGTTTGCTCCATTTGGAAGATAATTTTATATGTTTGGTTACATTAGTGTTAATCTGTCTTTGTTCTTTCAATCTCCAGTGTAACATACGGTTAGTCTCACCATTATTACTACCAGCTGCGGTTGGCCTATGATTTTGTTCATTCTGTCTGAATTCAAAGTAATTAGCTCTTTAGTTTAATGACAATATTTGTTAATGGGTTTTTAGGGCCAAATTCTGCTGTTAGAGAGTGGGTGGTATATTTGAAGATAGAATCTAGCCCTTATGTTTTAAGCATAAGCTCTGTAATTTGATTTCAAAATGATGGTTTAGAGAATTTGGGGTAGGAAAATTAAATCTGCATTTATCTGAAGTTTCTCAGTTTCAAGACACAGAAAATGAAAGTGGCAATTTATGTAAATGAACAACAACACACTGAAAGTTCTCTGGTACAGCTATCCTGCATGTGTCATTCCGTATGCAGTTGGAATAAGAAATGAAACAATAATTATCAAGCAAGCATTAGGTAAATTTCCTTATGTGACGGGGCATACATTGAGTCCTTTAAGTGCAATGAAACATTTTGATCATTGTATTTTTTTCCAGCTTGAGTGAGATATAATTGACATATGACATTGTATATGTTTGACATATACAACATGATGATTTGATACATGTATATATTACAAAATGACTACCACAATAAGGTTAGTTAACACATCCATCACCGCACGTAATTAAGAGACTAGATCTTAAATGTTCTCACCACACACACAGACAAAATTGAGCATTATATTTTTGAAGGACTCGTTGAAGTAGAAAGAACACTTGCCTGGGGATCACTGGGGTGGAAGGTCAGACTCAGCTTCCGGTAGTGACATGACCTTGGAAAAATCTCTTTACCTCTCCATGGGCCTCAGTTTCTTCATCCTAAAATGAGGCCTTTGCACCAGATGATCTCAGTGATCCTTTCCAGCTCTGAAATGATAACTTACTTTAGAAGAGCGTTATAAGGAATGCACAAGGAGGGCAAGGAAGATGCAGTGACTTGAGCTAACTGAATAAACAAATCATTAAGTCTACTGAAAGGTACTTTGGAGACATTTTGACCTTAAGAACTTTCCTTCAATGACTCGTTATTTTTATCCTGGAGAAGAGAAATATTTGGAGGGTTTTAGGTAGAAGAGACTAGAGGTAGCTCTATTGGAAATTTTCAAGGAGATCAGTTTTGGCAAAATTTGAAAAAAAAAAAAAAAAGAAAAACCCACCTAGTAACAACTGAGGTGTCCAACAATGAAATAGGATTTTTGGGAGATCATGGATTCACCATCATTATAGGAAAGACAGTGGGTACCCAGGGTTTTATGAGCAGCTAAACTGTCTTTCAAGGTATAAAAGCTAGAGGCAAATATTCTGAACATGTAGGAACTCAGGAAATCATGAGCCCTTCCTGAGGCAACTATTAAAGGACCAATTCCATCACACCAAGAGGTGACTCTAGAAACTGCTGCAAAAGAACCGATTGTGAGCATTGAATGTATTTAACTCTAAACTAAATCTAAAATAAATATGGAGATTAAGATGAGAAGAGAGAGCACAAAAGTATACTATTCTGTAGAACTAAAACAGCT